AGGGAAGTCACTGATATCTTAAGTATGTAAAATGTTTGTTTGAAATTGTAAAACAGAAAATTTAATAAAAGTTAGAGAGAGAGAGAGAGAGAGAGAGAGAGAGAGAGAGAGAGAGTGTTGTTTGGGTACCCTACACAGAGCTCCAGCTCCAAGGGAGAAACATGACTGTTAAGGTGTTTTAAATGTATTGTGTGGGTGTGACTACCAAAATCAGTATGTGACCACCAGAGGATGTACGCTTCTGAATACCAGCTGCTGGAAATCACAGGGTGGGAGAGTGCTGTTGAACTCAGGTCCTACTTTGGGGCCTGTCATGATACCTGGCTGGCCACTAGGAAAACAGGATGCTGGACTATAATGGGCCACTGACATTGTCCTGTTCCAGCAGGGTCTTATGTTATTATAGCCACCTTTCTGATTGCATGTACCTGGCTCACTCCTTAGTGCCTGCTAACAGCTATAAAATGAGTCTAAAAGCAACAGCACTGGATGGGGTTGGTTTTTTTCATTGTCTGATAACTACCTTTCATAGTACATTACGCACAAACTTTGTTCCAAATGGTTAGCTCTGGGTCCTTGGGGCTATCTGCATACTTCTCTATTCTTCTCTATGCTGCCAGCTTCCTTGTGCAGACCTAACCACCTTCTTTGTAACTCAAGTTTCGCCTGACTGAGCTAATCTAAACATAAGAGCAGCAAGGTGCAGATTTCATCCTTAAAATGTAATAGATTTTATTTATCCAAGATCAACAAATAGCATCACAATGCAAAGTCTAAATTTCTTTGTTGCCCAGGGGAGCCCAAGAGGCAATAAATCAAAGCAACACGGCAGCCAAATGGGTGATTGTTTTCAATTAAAAGAAAATAGACCTTGCCTTTCCTTGTCAGGATACACACTTAAGAACATACTAAATAATCAAGCTAGAACGTCTGCTCTCAGGAACAGTTGTTTGGTTTTAATGGAAAACCCTTGATGAATAAAAAAGTAGAAGGATGAAGCTTCCTACACATAGCAACTTTTGGTTCTGTTCTGAAATTTATTAGCACTAAAGGTGACAGTGTCAACAATTTTGAGTTTACAATATGCATTACCAAAATGGAAGGCACATAATGCTGCTTAATCCTAGGCAAGTTTACTCAGAAGTAAGGCACAATTATTAAACTGGCTTTCTTTTTTCTTTAATAAAAATGACTTTTTAAAAAAGAGTAGAAGTCAATTAATTCAAGAGGACTTACTCGCAAGTAAATGTGCACGGAACTACAACCTATACACACACTTGAGAAGCAAATAAATGAAAAAAAATGGCCCCCTATTCTGCAGATGCTCTTGAGGGCCTTGCCAATTTTGGGGGTAGTTTTTCAATATAAATTTTGCCCAAGATGACTATTTTAATTTTCTTTGGATAAGCTTCATGTAAATATTGGAGGGAAAGTATTAAAATCCCACCTCCATTTCTGTGATACTCATTTGGTTTCATGAGCTGCCAGAGTACAATAATATCTACTAGCAACAATAAAGTCCTTTATATTATATTTAAGCAAATGTTTAATGGTTGGGAATAATATGGGCTGTTTAAGTGATGTGATTTTTAAAATAATTTAAACTATATTCAATATACACAGAGGCAAGCAGCATTAGATCCCTTTGTAGCACAAGTCCAGGAGTTCCTTATATCTATGCTGCTGCAAGCATATGTGATATTAAGCACATGATAAACAGCAGCCAAGAGGGTCTGGATTAGGGGTCAGCAACCTTTTTCAGCAGGGGTTGCGGTCCACTGTCACTCAGACCTTGTGGGGGCCAGACTATATTTTTTTGGGGGGGGATGAACGAATTCCTATGCCCCACGAATAACCCAGAAATGCATTTTAAATAAAAGGACACATTCTACTCATGTAAAAACACACTGAATCCTTGAATCCTGGACCGTCTGCAGGCTGGACTGAGAAGGCAACTGGGCCGGATCCAGCCCTGGGCCTTAGGTTGCCTACCCCTGGTCTGGATCAAGACCACAATATGCAAGGAAGAGGGTTTGATTCCTTCTTCCTGCACCATAGTTGGAAGAAGAAGAAGAAGAAGAAGAAGAAGAAGAAGAAGAAGAAGAAGAAGAAGAAGAAGAAGAAGAAGAAAAACAAACAAACCCCTTTCTTCCAAACTGCTATATTCTCCCCAGGAAAGAAGCTTCTATTGTTGTAAATTATACACCTACAGTCAGGAAAACATTTGCTACATTTTCTCAATAGGTGATCAAATATAGGCAACCAATGCTGAGTATTCATTTACCACAGTGTTCACATAACCATTTGACAAGCTGGTTGTCTGCGTTGTTCAGCCAAGTAGGGAGCAGTACTTTCCTTTTTAAAACAATCCCATCGCTTCTCTTGATTTCTTACTAGGTGCAAAAGTGTAGTAAGAGATTCCTCATGGTCGGACAATACTTTTCCTATTTGACCATGTGTACTGGTAACATTTCCACTAGGCAATGAGCATTTGCTTAATATAGTCATGGGCACCCTAGAATTCTTCCTTGAAAGTCATCGCTGACCTACATTATCCACACAGAATTGTTTCATCAGAATAATTCGTCCAGGCAATATGAGTAGATACCGATGGGGCTTCTCTGTTGATCTTATTAATAACTCTCTTTTTTTATATAATTTTTTTATTAAAGTTTCAAAAGTTTTTTATAACAACAAAAACAAACAAAACAATACAATAAAAACGACAAACAAAAAGAAAGTACAAAAAACAAATATAATTTCAACTCTTATTTTCTTGTAACTTATTTCCCCGACTTCCTCATACCTCCCCTTTCTGTATTCCAATTTCTAATTAATTATTTAGCAAATCCTTCCCTTCTTTTTAACTTAATTTTGATCTCACTTTTTCTCTTTAACTTATCCATTACCGCTAATAACCACATATTTTCTAATCAGCGTCATTTTAACATTCATTCATTTTACAATATTTCTTTAAATAGACTTTAAATTTTTTCCAATCTTCTTCCGCTGTTTCTCTTCCCTGGTTTCGGATTCTGCTCGTCATCTCTGCCAGACCCATGTAGTCTATCACCTTCATCTGCCATTCTTCCAAGGTGGGTAGATCTTGTGTCTTCCAATACTTCACTCTTATTAATAACTCTCCTGGAGTGGGTTGCTTTTGGTTGAGGGCATGCCACTTTATTATTATTATTATTAATTGAATTTATATACTACTCTATACCCACAGGTTTCAGGGTAGTTCATGGAATAAAATCAAAATAGAAAACCACAAAATAAACAATCAAAATAAAAACAACAACAACCCAATAACCACCCCCTACTAGAAATAGAAATATAATACATATCAAAGTTAACGAACTTCAGCCTGAAAGTGAAGGCTCAAAGTTCTACTCCTCTCTCCCCACCGCAGGTCTTCCCATCTTGCTCCTGCCCCCCCCCCCCCCGCAACCTTGCTGTGCTAATGAAGTATTAACAGGCTTGTCTCTCTGGATCAAGTCAGATAAGGACAAAGTATGATATTATAAAAGGCCTCACACGAGTACCCTGTCACAGTTAAAATTCAATTTAGTACAGTATAGTCTTAGGACACCAGCTTGAGAAATTTCAGTTTCAACTGATCTAAATCATTTCAGATCCATCTGTTCGCCTTCTGACAACACATTATGTTAACATACATGCTGTGAAAGTACCTGCAATAGCTTCATATGCTTAATTTATGTTCCACACCTGCCACGCAACAGCATCTTGAGCACATTGCAGGTTTTGGCCATGCAACCTCACCAAACTGGATTAAGGCGAACATGATGCCACAGGAAATGTTCTTTATGTGAAGTGTAAAACCATTTTTATCATGGCTGTTTTCTAAATCTTTCGGTTTTCCTTTGCTTTGCTTCTAGATGCACAATGCACTTAAAGCTCTAAAACTGTTGTTGGTGTTTGGTTATATAAAATGCCACCGAGTTTACAAGGCACTGATTAACATAGCACTTATTGTTTTGTTCTCATTAAAGATTGCCTTTTGCCCTGACACTGTGCAGATCAGGCTGCCTGTTAAGATGGCATACCTAGGGATCATGGGTGTAGGCAGGATTTTTGTTAGGGGGTGCAACCTTTTGTTAGGGGGGGCAGCACCTCATATTTGTATTGTATTGATTATGTGGGGGGCAGCTTCCCCCCTGCCCCCCCCCAGCTATGCCCATGCCTAGGGTGCTCTCTTCTGCAGAATGTCATGTTCAGTTGTGCATATGAGCCCCACGTTGTACATATCCGGATTCCAAGCTAATTGGCAGCAATAATATGGGATGGAGCTGGGGGGGGGCTTCAACGGGAGGGGAGAATTGTGCCAAATGGGCTTGGATCCTGTTATGTACTGAGTTGAATAGGATCCAAAATGCAGCAGTCTGATTGGTCCTAGAACAATGCAGCAGTATGATTGGTGCGCAGGAGCCACCCAATCCAGCTCCAGGTGGAAGTGAATCCACAACCTGATTGGCCTACAGGAGAATCCCGGAATTAGCCAATCACGTGCAGCCCATTGTGTAAATAATGTATATAAAGCAGATATTTTGGGGGAACTTCCATTCCTCCTCACCACTATGAGCTGAATAAAGAGCATGAAATCCACTCTCGACTCCGAGTATATTTCAGACCCTAAAACAGGTTAACAAGCAGCTTGGATTCGAATTGGGGAAAAGAACAAGCCGGCTGCCTTTTGCGCCCGTGACGTGTCCACAGCTTAATTCCTTGCTGATCGTCACAGCACCTGCCGCATATGGCGAGGGAGAGTGTGGCTTCCTTCTTGTCCGCATGGCGAGAGGGTGCACGGAGCTCTTCCCCTGCTGCGGGCTCCCTCAGTAAACGTGCATAAGATCGGGTGGTTTGCAAGGCAACCAAGCCCCTTTCCTGCGGGTTTAACTGGGGTTTCCCTGAGGCCGCCTTGGCGTTTCCCTTCCTACGGGCGCGCCGCTTTCTGACAGGTCCTGAGGCGAGCAGAAGGGAACTCCAGCTTTAGGCGGGAACCGCCTCCCCGGGCAGGCTCCGGCCTGGGGCCTCAGCTGCCGCCCTGGTTGGCCCAGGAGAAGGGCGGAGTTCAGGAGGCGGAGAGGCGCGGCGAGGCGAGCGGGGCCCTCTTGCTCCGGAGTGAAGTCCACTTCCTTGCGGGGAGGGGAGCTGCGAGGGCGACGGCAGCAGCAGCAGCAGAGAGTGACCTGGGACGGTGGGTGAGCCTGGAGAAAAAGGAGTGAAGAATAAGTTTCTTTAGGGGCCTTGCGAGACCCACCCGCGCTAGCAAGGCGGGAAGTTTAGGGCGCCGCTTTTGTCAGTCTCGCCTGCTTTGTTTGGTAGGGACTCGGCTCTCTCGCCGCCCAGGGTTTAATAAAAGGGCGCGAACCCGGCTGAAGGGTCCCCGGCCCCGCTGCTCGATTCTCTTTGTCAGGCAACTAGTCCCTGAATCCCCTCGGATATATTTGCGGGGTTGAGGCCTTTCATTGCCACCAGCTTAGTGGCGGTGAGCGCAGGGATCTCTTCGTGGCTTTTCTCATCGCGGTGGACTTTGGGTCGTACTTTCCCCCTCCTTTTTAAAACCTAATCTGGAATTGCAGAGATTGTTGTTAGTTTGTTATGAACCTGCAATCGTCATAAACTGCTGTGAAGATATTGTAAGAATCTGGATTACCGTATCAAACTGCTTTGTGTATGTTCCTCAAAAGCACTAATTAGAATTTATGCTGTAACCCACTGTAACAGGATTGGTGTGTGTAAACTCTTATTTTACCAGTCCTGCCCCCCCCCCAAGTAATTAAAGCATGCAACTGATGAAAATGTAGTGATCGAAATGTAATTATAAGTGATTATTTGTCAAGCGGTTCCTGCTCCTGCCAACCTAGCAGTTCGAAAGCACGTCAAAGTGCAAGTAGATAAATAGGTACCGCTCTGGCGGGAAGGTAAACGGCGTTTCTGTGCTCTGGTTCACCGGAAGCGGCTTAATCCTGCTGGCCACATGACCCGGAAGCTGTACACCAGCTCCCTCAGCCAATAAAGCGAGATGAGTGCCGCAACCCCAGAGTCTGCCATGATTGGACCTAAGGGTCAGGGGTCCCTTTACCTTTACCTAATTCACAGTGGAGTAAGAAAGTAAGTAGTATTGTTGTGCCCAAGTGGTGGAGGCAGACCCAGCTCCAGGTTTTTGCCCTACCTACTTATTTCTACTGTCCTTCCCTTTCTCCCTATGGCTGTCCTCGTTCTTTCTTCATGGACCATCTTGCATGCTTTCTCTTGCATGCCGCCCACTCATGTGGTTCTCTTCCTCCACCTTTCACTCAGTCCTTTTATGTTCCTCTGCCTCAGCTATTCCCCCAGTTGTGTTGCCTGCCAGCGGCATTTGGAAGCCACTGGGGCTGCTGCAGCCACCCCACTTTCTTGCCAGCTGAGGCTCCTGGGTTCCCTGCCAAGGTAGATCTGCTGCTTCACAGCCCCTGCAGGTGATGTCAGGAGCCAGTGCTGAGACCCACAGCAGCCTTTCATTGTCCCCATTATCTGTTCAGGCTTTGGGATTGTCCAGAGCAGCAGACTACTTACTGGACATGATGAGTTAGGGTAATACTTGCAGTTGAACATAGCTGGGATTTGACAAACTAGCTGTCACTGGCTATAGCCCCATGGTTTGCCTGGAATAGATGACTGCCTTTCTGTCCTGGAAAGCGATGACGTTGGTAGGATAGGCAGGGTTTTCGCAGAATGCAAGATCTGGTAGCTGAATTATGGACACACTCTGAGTCACATGATGAATGGTAGTGTAATGAACAAAGCTGCTTGCTATTATTAATGATTTTGTAAGTACTCGTATGTCAACAACAGGTTTTGCGTCAGGACCAAATGCTTCTGTTCTAGCTAGCACTTCTTCAGTTTCAGCCACCATGAGAGTCAGAGGTGCAGATAAATGGAAAAGCTACAACCTTGACTCCTTGATTGAATGCTGCCCTTGTGGATAACATTGGAAAACAGGTGCCCTGACTAGACTAGATATCTACCATTGTCATCTTTTTGTATATAGATAACGTGGCCCATAAAATCGATATCCTATGACATAAGATTAAGAGCTGTTCTGATGTCATGCTGTCTTTCCTGGGATTGCTTTGGGAAGAATTTCTCTTAGGATAATGTTATGGAAAGCATTATGTTGGAACTGGAAAACCAGTATTATTATCATCATTTTAATGTTTCCCATGAGTATCCCATGCAAGTTATTCTAAAAATGTTTGTCTGTAAAGGCCCTGAGAGCTCCAGAATTCGAGGGAAGTTTGATTGCTGTGCCTGTTGTCTAGAATAGGAGGGAAGCAACAATGAGAGCTGAAGGACAGAAGCAAAACATATTGGGTTTGTTGGACAGTCTGTAATTAAAATATACTGTGCACAAATGTGTGCCTGAAGAAAATTAATAATAATAATGCTAAAGTGTTTAATGTTGTCAAAGATCCTAAAACTAATGCTGAAGGACCTCTTAACAATATCTGCTGACCCCAGCCAGTAAGTTGGCAGGGTGGTGGTATGCAGCCCAACAGGAGCTGGCCCTGATATTGTCTGTGCCTCCCTCCTTCTCTTCCTCCTCACAGTGCAGGGCAGATGGTGTCTTTGCAAAATTGATTCCATGCTCTCACCTGATTCTCAGCCCGAGGAGCAATAACAGAGGTGGCTGTGGAAGGTGCAGTGAGCAGAACGATTCTTGTCACTCCTCAGAGAAGGAAGAGATGTGGTTGTAGCAAGGGACTCCCATCAGAGGGGGACAGAGGCAACAGTGTTTGGAGGAATGTTTCATTGTTTCAGTTGTCTCTACACGAATGCACAGAGCATGGGAAGCGAGCAAGAAGAACTTACATTCCTGAAACCTGGTGGGATGATAGTCATGAATGGGATGTAGAAACAAAGAGGTGCAACGTGTTCCAAAGGAACAGATCAAACAGGAACAGGCAGTTCCTTTTCTTTCACCTTGATTCTTCCTACAGCTTTTATGATCCTTTTCGATTTTCTGTCCTAAGCTGTTGTCTGATCACTGCTTTCAATAGATTAAGTCTGCAATCCTCAACAAGCCCACTGAACACAGTGTGGGACTTACTTCTGAGTAAACACAAACAAGATTGCACTATGTGGCTATGCTTCAGGGATGGTGGAAGCAAAACCTGTGATACGGACTTTTGTGTTTTCCTGTCAAGTGGTGTTGTATTAAACAGGCTATATAAATGTCAATTGTTATTATTAATCTCTTTCCTACATTAGAAGATTTAATGGACATACTGTTTTCCATAGTGACACCATTGTCACAATCACTTCTGCTGTTTTAATTAGAGGTGGCAACAGTGGCAGTCAGATGTTTAATTACATTTTGTAAAGGTGACCAGAATTAACTCATAAAATTAGCGGCTAATGCAGTGCACACAAAGTTGACTGCTTCTGACCATAGTTAGGAAGAAGAAAATAGTGGTCACAAAGTCCATTAGAGAAGAAAAATCCAGGATGAGTGCTGTGCCAGAGAGGAAAAGGGAATAAGAAGCCATTTGAAGGAACTGAATCAATTTGTTTCATTATCTGATTCAGTGCAGATCTTCTGGCTGGCTCTTATTTTTTTCAAATGACTCCATGTTATTCTTTGGAAACCTAACATACTGTCCCAAATAGCCAGCTGTTAGCATTACCTACAGGAATTAAATATTAAACCACAAGCAAATAATTCATTGTTTGTTCGAATTGTACTATCTCAGTCTGGCTAAGAATTCAGAGAAAAGTTTCTAATTTATCTTAGGAGGAAATAAATTTGTGCCATCTTGATTTCTATAGCCAAATATATTTTCACTCTGAGTGTTACCATTTCTTTGCTACTTCTGGTTCATTTGGTTGTTAAATGGATGCAGTCCTGCTAAAGAGAACCTTCAAGTACTCTGGCTAAACTAGATCTGGGACTCATTGTCTCTCTTCCCAGTCAAAAGGAACTCTGCAGTGTTTGAGAGAGTGAAATGTTTCAGTTTATGACAAAGGGTGAAATGTGATATATCTCTTCACAGCTGGTGTGCTTTCTGCCATTCCGCTGCAATCCTACAAAAACTTGGGAGAATTGTAGGATTGAGTTCCCTTGAACTCAGTGGGACTTACATTTGAGTAGATACGTTTAGCCTACTTTCTGCTGAACATTACTCCAGAATTGCACAGCTTGTGACTTAAGTCAAGCCAAACATAATCTAACAAATAGGATGCAGAAGAAGGAATTTCAGTTGTAGCTTAGTCTATGTGCTGAAAATACCTCTTGTCTACAACTATTAGAGTTGCAGGAGCCCTGTCTTTGGCATCTGGACATCCTACCAATATCCCCCTTGTTTTTGCAGTCCCAGCAAAAAATGGAGTTATTTAATTTACTATAAGGGAGATGAGAACATAGGAAGCTGCATATAATGAGGAAGACCAATTTTCCAAGTAGCTCAATGCCGTCAACCCTGATTTACAGTGGCTCTCCAGGTTTTCAGACCAGAATCTTTCCCAGCCCTACCTGGAGATGCAAAAAATTGAACCTGGCACTTTCTGCAGGTGCTGCACCATTCGGTTTCAGCCTTTCCTCTGCTTTGGATTTAGGGAAACTCTCTGATAAGGTTATGTCCCTCTGGCTCAGAATAAATAGAAACAGCAAGCCATGTTGTTGTTTTGCAACCTTTATAGTTGCTGTTGTTGTTTTGCAACCTTTATAGAAATCTCTGGAAAGAATTGCTTGATCCAGTAATCATTTTGTATCCTAGAAGGATATGTGTACTCTATGTTTCCCCCAACCATTCTTTCTGATACAAATAAGTTTATTACAGAAACTGTAGCAAAATTCCTGTTGAGAGCAAGCTACATCTGCATCCAAATAAATGTAACAACTTTGTCTTATCCATCAATAGATTTTTTAATCCTGTATCTCATTTGTGCATGTTAACAGTTGCAGAAGTTTTATTTGGAGGTCTGTTGGCTGGTTCAATAAATGTGTTGACAGGTTGACTTTACCCCATTTCGGGGGCTCCATTTAGGTTTGTTTAATGTGATGAGCAGCTTGCTCATTCACATGCTGCTCAAAAGTTCCTACTTCACCCTTTCCCTTCTCCTGGCTGTGCTGTGGCAGGAGCAACAAACCACAAACTTTGACTTGTTGATGTCATCCAATTGCAGCTTGTGGTTTGTTTGGTGGGGGAGCCTGGGTTTG